TCGAAAATATAAATAAAAAACATCTGTTTTTAATTGCAAAATTAAATCATGGGCTTAAAAAAAAGTTCGCTTCAGGGTAATATATAAAATTATTGGTGCAAAATAAAATTGAGTTGTAGTAGAATTTTCTTTGGGTTTTTGAGTTCTTATAATATTTACTAAGACATTTTCATAATAAAGTGAAAAATCCACACGAAGTAAAATATGTTGTAAAGAAATGATATATATGTTTGGTGTATATTTATTTATTTCCATTATTTATGGTTTATAAGCAACATTACAACCTCTTAGTTACAAATGAATGAGGAGTAAAAATTTTTTTGTATTGCTAAAATTTGGTTACGGTTACAAGATTGTGCAAAATTGTGCTGCAGGGGTTTTATAAGAGTAAGGAAAATTGATAAGTTTCCAGGTTTTATAAAATTTGGTAACGCGAAAAGTACTGTTACTATTATAAAACAAAAAAAATTGGCAAAATTGTATCCTAATTTTTCCATGTGGCTGAAGTCAGCTTGCGATTGGAATTGAAATATGTGTCAAATTACAGCGGACCAACCAAATACTGCATTATTTTGAAAATTCTGTATTAACTTTTTTTAAGCAAGATTTGCGAAATTTGGTGCCTCTGGTTTTAAGGTCTTCTCTAACTGATGTACCTTGCAAATTTATTCCCCATCACGGCCCTTCAGTAGCGGTGTGAAAATACCACGATTATACACCTAAATCGGAAAACTTTTGATTGTAATGAAATTCAGTACGCTACTACGTATGGGGTGTAATCCATTCAGTTTTAATAATATTAAAATCCAGGATATAGGAGCAGTTTTGTAAAATATCGTAATTCACTATTTGATATAGAGCATGGGTTAAAAAAGGTCAATTTAACATTATTGATATATTTCCAAATTTGGTATAATATGATTTTCTTGGTACAGCATGGATTGTAATAGTGTCTAAAAAGACCAATAAAACTACTTAAATTTGCACTCTTGAAAGTCTTTAAAAAACCATCCCTTATCCAACTAATTGTATATTTCACCTTGCAGACGATTTTGTGCTTCGTCAAAAATATGTTGAATAAGTTTATTTTTCTCTCTTTAATAGGACTAGGCTCCTTATAAATTCTCAACCTTAAAAAAAAAATTGTATCTTTTAGCCTCTAGACATTTTTATAAATTTTTTCAACAAGCGTGGTAAAATGTTGCCTTTTCGAATTGTTTTATTTTTAATTTTTTTATAAATTTCTTTAAAACTTTTAACTATTTTAGTTTTTTTAATCAAACCTTAACTTATGACACTACGAAAAAAAACTTCAACTAGATTTATTAATTCACCTGGGGTAAATACCAACTTTCCTATTTTAAATAGAACATCCTGTATATGTATAATGTCTATACCTAAGTCTAAACGTTTTTGGCAACTTTAAAATTATATGTTAAAAATGCCTGCACTAAAGCAATTACAAATTTTTCCTATAAGGAAGCTTTAATTATTATATATCATATATTGACTGGATATTTTGGATGTAAATTAATACAGGGTGAACAAAAATTAAATATAGAAATGAAATTATAATTTTCAATGGCAAACCCTGCATTTTTTATAAATTTATCCTATTCGACTGCGAAAACTAAAGTGACTTTGTGAGAGTGATAGTGTTTTGAATTCCGCAAATTTATAGCTTCCGAAATAATTGACAATTTAACATTTTCTAAATGTAATTATGCGGCTGTTAAGGTTTGTTGTCAATTGGGCATGATACTGACGTTTTAATCCAACGCAGTTTTTAAAAAAAGTAGAAGTATATACAACTTGTTTCGCTGAAGTCCGTATTTATTTATTTATTTATTTTGTAATATAAATTTATAATTTATCTTTTAATTTATATCACCGCGATCCCTGGAATCACGTTGTTCTTCCAATTGTGGGTTTCAATGAAACAAATTAGATTAATTAAATAAAATAATAAATTAATGAGAGAGAACTCATGTCAATCTGACATGTGTGATGTTTTTTAAAGTGACTTTTCTGTGTTACCTTCTTCCTAGCTTCTAGCTCCTCCTATACAAAAATGATTTGTATAATTACGAAAACCTGAAAAAAAAAGTCAATTTGTAAGATAACATCTGACAGTATATTTTTCTACCCCCGTCTGTAAAATACCTAATTTGTCAATTCTGACAGTCATGTCAGTGAATGTATTAGTGTTGTTTTGCGAAAATGTACCCAAAAACTAACGATCGTAGACAAAGTATAGTATGCAACCGCACTTGTTGCATAATATACTATTTTTTTTAATATGTCTGTATTAAATTGTCACTTACGACATTTTACCAAACCCTCGCCCTTACCTTGAGAAACATGTGTTTCAAATTTCGTTAATTTTGCTTGAAAAAATAAACTCCATGCAGCAAATTTAAAATAATGGCCAGTGTTTGCCCGCTAAAATTTGATACAGATTTTAAGCCCAATCCCAAGCTAACTTCATTCACGTTATTTTTCCAACGATTTTCAGGTAGTTTTATTTTTCTGTTAGAGTTTCATCTACCGAGTATTTCACACGGTTGACATTTTTGACTTTCTCAACGTTTAATAAATATTATTATTGTTATGTTATGTCAATCCAGTTTACGATAATACGAGTTCTAAGACGCGTTTTAATTTTTGGATTTTTCGAATAAGTCCCTGAATCTGTATTAAGGTCAAATGGAGTAGTTTTCGATAGCAACAAACACGTCCCTTGGTCGTGATAAAAGTGAAATACCAAAGTTTAAATCGATACATAATTTAGATATCATTAGAACAAGAGATGATTATAAAATTGTCGAGTGCTTAGATAAAATGAATGCCGATGTATGTTCTTCCATTGAGCGAGATCTACCCCATTTATACGGTCCCTACAGTTACATTGAATGTACAGAGAGGGTCAGAAAGGTGGGTCGATAATGACAGTGTTTGCCGTTTTTCGTTTTTAGGCCCGATCCTATAAAATGCAGGGCGTTGAACTTCATTTACAGATAAACATTGATATTTACAAATAATTCAATATTTCACATATCTTGTTAAAACTAGCAGCCCTTAGATCGTATAATTTTGTCTCTCTTGTTTATTTTCAATAACAATATAACAATTGCAGAGATTTTTGATGTTGTATTTCTTCAGAACTTTTAATATCTATTCTGTATCTGCTTTGAGAATTACGATGTTGAGATGAGATTTTTGAAATTTTAGAGTTCAGACTTTGAAATATTATACCTTGGTACAAAACGTGGGGTAAGGACGAGTTGGAACCTTTTGCAAAAACTGATATTTCCGTGTCAGAAAGTTTGGTAATTGAGAAGAGTTTGATGGTTTCGCTAGTGTTGAAGTTAGTTTTTCAAATTTTCGAATTGATAGAAGATAAACGAACTAGTATGGGGACAAGATTGAGGCAATTTGAAGATGTAGAGACAGAAGAGTCTTGTAAATTTAGTCTACTTGATAGATATGATGAAATCTTTCCCGAAATAAATCAAAATTAGGTTTTGATATTATGGGATATTTAAAGAAAATTAGGGATAACGTTGTTTCCTCTACAACGTAACAAAAAGTCAGGGTACAGGGTAATCTTACCAGGTTCAGTCGGTGATCTTCTAACTTTCTGCTTTTGTGCTTGATGTCCTCTCCATAAAGGCTTGCTTTTTCTTCCACATGCTACTGTAATACTATTTACAAATCTTCTGGATTCCTCCTGCGTCGGTTGTTGTTGAATCGAACTTGTTGACGTGTCGTTAATCATTCTGTTGGCTTCTTCAGAGCTTGATCAATAGGATGATTGGCGAAACGTCAGCGAATTTGATTTATAAACAACCGCCGAAGGAAGCATCAAGATTTGTAAATGATGATAATATGCTTTTTGCGTCTTTTTTATTATTTGAATTTGATAACAAAAAGACATCGAAAACTAAATTTGTGAAGAGAAGTAAACAGAAGAGAAAAAGTTACACAAATAATAGGTAATGTAATTTTTTAAATATATGAAAAATGTGTTACAAAAACATTGTCGGTGAAATAAAAAATGTCATTATAGAATTCCTAATATTTTTCCTCAAAGAATCTGAAAATAAATTTTAAAAAATAAAATAAAAAATAATATTAATTAAAAAACAAATTCATTAAATAGTAATAGCAACTTAATTATATAATATGAAATAAATGAAATATACAATAAAGCCTAATTTAGTTGCTCATCTTGCTTATCTTAAAGTTGTTTAAAGGAAATTTTAAATTAAAAATGAAGGATATAAAAACTTAGAAAGCCTAAATGATCATAATAAATCTGCCAGTAACGAGATGTCCCATCTTTTCAACTCACCCTATGGAAAAAAGCCAGTTAATTTTAGAAAGTTTTAAAATTTTGTTTTGCCAGCTCTTTGATCAATGTTTCTCGTTCCTTAGCATCTGGCTAGTTTGCTTTCCATATATTTAGTTTGTCTCCAAGTGTTTGCTACGTGACTCTCAACCTCTGAACTGAAATATCCAGCTTATCTCTGACTCCTAAATGTTTGTTGTATACGCGCTCCGAAAAAATGTATATATATATATATATATATATATATATATATATATATATATATATATATATATATATATATATATATATATATATATACATTTTTGTATTGACTGCATTTTTTTATTACTATTTAAAACATTCTGTCTACAAAATATGACATCAATAGAACTTTACTTTAGTTACTATTTGAATTAAATATTATTTTTATTTTGTATTTTTGTATTACAGATTTCCATAGATAAATTTATTTTTATAATTAAATTTCCTTGAAATTGATGTTTTATAATGAGTATTTTACTTTTTTTGACATAAAAAAATTAACAATAAACATATCACTTCTTGTTATTCCTCGTCGACTTTTTGTTGTTTACGATTTTTTTTACATATCTAATAAAACATAAATAGCTTTTAGTTTCTTGCACCGCAAATCTTTATTTGATTTTAGATCGAGACTGCAGCATGTCGCCAATAAAATTCATTTTTACGTTGCTGGCTTTTACATTATCACTAGGTGAGTACGTCTTTTATTATGCGATATTGAACAATTTCATCCCAATTAATCCGCGTTAATCTAAATAAGCAGTTGGTTTAATACCAAGATTAATAACAATTTATTAAACTTAAGTGTCCTTAATAATTATTAAATTGGAAAACAGGAAACATGACTATCCAAACTATTAGTAGGGTACAGTGTTTTCGCAAATGAACTTGCATGCGTAGAAATCGGCGCAGTGCAAAATATTTGACTTTAGTTTTTTTTTATAGAAATTATTCATCTGACCCAAAAAATAAACATGCTATTTGGAAGACAATTCAATATGCTTTGGTGCGAGTTTAAATTTGTCAAGAGTACTGATATATCCATAGCTACGGTTAAACAAATGAAACGTGTTCATGCAGTAGTTACAGTAATAGCAACAAACTTGTTATAGACTTAAATTAACCGCCTTTGCAAGTGGAATTTTCACATTATTCGTTTTTAACCATTTGGATAGCGTTTAATTGTTTGACTTGATGTTTACACCGCAAAAAAACCCTCAAGTTATTTCTTGACAACTGGATATAACATGGGCAGCTGTTCGAAGAGCATGTCGACGGAATGAGGAGACTGGATCCTTTGCTAGGCGCCCTGGAACAGGCAGAAGGCAAATTACAACGGCTCGTGATGACCGGTTTATTGTGTCAACAATAACAATAAATCGTCAATTTAATGCGGTTCAAGTGCAACAACAGCTCCATGAAATTCGAAGAGTGGCTATTAGTAAGTGGACAGTGAGAAGAAGTCCGAAGGAAAATAACTTGACCCGTTGGATGGAACCATTGCACATAGGGGACGTTGCTCCTGCCAGGTTCCAAAAATCTGTAGAAATCTTTGTTATGTATACTTGTTATCTGAAGTAATTGAGATGCAGTACCTATAAGTTTTTGAAATAGTGTGATGATTTTTGGATTTGTGATGTGTTATTCCATGATGTGTATGTTAACACGGTTTACGGATGTCTTATATTCACGCTGGTAAGCAGATCGGATAGGATCAGATATCCCGTATAAGATAATTGCGAGAGCCGATTGAAGAATCGGTCGTCATCTCATGACAATTTATTTAGAAGTTGTTCCCGTGTTTGTATATGTTAATCAACCTGGAGGATGATGGATTGGTCCAGACTCTTCTTGAAGGAAGAGATTCTTCAGGATTTTTGTATTATATTTCACTTGTCGGACGCTGATTGAATAACCTATTGTAGTCGTGGCAATTAGAAGTAAATCCAATCCAACCTGACCCCAAAAACAACTGTAATTGGTTCAAAACTTACTCCAGCTCATCGCTTTACACGGGATCATCTGAATTGGACATGGGGATCTGTTCTGTTCTCAGAGCTACACTTCGTACCTCAACCTAGATCCCAGAGCTTATTGTTGCAGTAGAAGAAGAGTGGCTTAACATTCCATAAAAAACAAGAGCGAATTTGATTAGATCTATGCATAATTGAGTAAGAGATGTTATTAGGGCAAGAGACGGTCATAATCATTATTAAAAAATAAGTGTTGAGTAATTGTCAATAACCCTATTTATCAATTTAAACTCGTATTAAAGCATATTAAATTGTCTTTCAAATAGCATATTTTTTATCCGATAAATAATTTTAAAAAAATGAAATTGCAGTCAAAAGTTCACAATGGGCCGGTTTCCATGCACGCAACTTTAAATTGGGGTGCTACTTGCAGTCGTGCGAAGTTAGAGGCTTCATCATCATTATCATTTCCACTTTAGATATGAGGGACTAATGAATGTTACGGCACCCATATTTTTCGCAGCATCATTATCTCTTCATTCCAAGTTCAAATTATTTTAAACAATACAGGATGGCTCAAGAAATCGTGACAAACGCTACAAAACATATATTTTTTTAAATGCAACACGCTATTTTTAAATTTAGTTTTTAATACGCTATGAAATTATTTAACTTTCCTATGAATAATAATACTTTCGTAAACCTAATAGTTTTTTTCAATATTTTAATTTTTTTTAAAAGGAATTCTAGTTTTCACACTCGGAAAAAAAATAACGATACGATGATATTAGCGCTATTCGAAGATGACGTAAACGATATATGCAACGGAATTTGAAAAGGCTAAAGATGGCTGGATGAAGACACAAGGCACAGAAATTGCAGAAGTAACTGGCTACAACAAGAAAAAATACCCTGTGGAATGAGAAACAATCAAAACACTTGTGGAAGAGAATAATATAAAAAAATATTAAGAAGAGTACGTCACAGAGTTACAGTAGAACAAACGAAAACGAACAACGCGAAGTCTTAGAGATATTAACCTCTGAAGTCAAACATGCCTTAAAAAATTGTAAAAACAAAAAAACTCCACCTCAAGATGAGATACAAATTGAATTTCTAAAATCACTGAACGATGAAATACATCAAAAAAGATTCCACCGGAATGGTTAACATCAACATTTATACCTCTACCAAAAAAAAAACAATCCGAAAGCAGAAAACGACTACAGACTCATAAGTCCATGTGCTACCCCTTAAAAATCCTGCTGAAAATAATCCAAAATGGCAAAAAGATATACCGGAACCAAACAGCCACTGTGAAAATTAACGAAACGGAGACAAAAGGAGTGCGTATCCAGCGAGATGTCAGACAGGGGTGCGTACTTTCAACTGCACTCTTTATTTATATTCAGAGATAATATTAGATCGGCGAAGTTGGAAAAGAAAAGAAGGTATTAAGATATACAATTCGCGGAAGATTACAATTACAGGGTCAATAACGAAAACATTAAAATGGGACTTACAATAAATACTGTAAAAACAAAATTCAAGACCACGAAATAAGAATCAGATTTAAAACACTATTCAGCGACAAAAATCGATGCTTGAATTAAGATTATAGTTTATTGAGTGCTACGTGTGGTCACAACTACTTATGGAGTAGACACTTGAGCTCTCAAGGCTCTGACCATCAAGAAACTAAAGTCTTTTCAAGTGTGCCTGTATCGCAGAACCTTAAAAATACCCTGGACTGCTAGAACTACTAATGAGGAAGTGTTATAAAGCATAGGACAAGAAAGGAAATTAATGTTTACTATCAAACCAAGAAAAGCAGTTTATGTCGGAAATATTCTAAAAAAGAACGAACTACTACAGACTATCAAGCAGGGACGAGTGGATGGAAGAAAAGTGGTAGGAAGAAAGAAGAAACATCAGGGACTCAAATGAGTGTAGGAGAGCTGTTTCACGTTGCAAGAGACAAAGACGCATTTAGAAAAGTGGCCGCCAATCTCTGTTGAGGGATAGCACTGGGAGAAGAAGAAGAAGAATCTGAATTACATGCTACAGGATGTTCGAAATAAACGTTTATATCTGGATCATTTTAAATTGAAATATTTTACCAAATATGATAACTTTAAGTATGTCAGGTACCTATTTTTAATACTTAGCTACTTATTTTTATTTTTCTAATTTTTATCCTTCTTTAACAAACAAAAAGAAAACTAGTGCGGTTAAGTCACATGTTCGAGGCGTCCGTCCAATCCAATGGAATTTCTCGATGATAATGCGGAGAAGCCCCCAATCTAGATTTTCGCTTTACTTCGAGAAAGAATTCATCATACCCGCAAGGAAATAGGTCAAATGAATAAGACTCTATTATCTCTACATTTTGAAATTGCTTCCATCTTGTCCCCATCCGAGTTCGATACCGTTCCAAACATGATTCATGACAAAGCTTTAAATCTTCGTTTATCTTTTACCCAAAATCTCATTCAGAAATTTGAAAAACTAATGTCAACACTAGGGAAATTCTTCTCAACTACCAAACACTGTGATAAATGTACCATCACACCAACTTTCGAAAACGGAAAAATCAGTTTTTTCAAAAGGTTCCAACTTCGTCCTTGCCGCAATTCTTATCCAGGAAATCATTTCAAACGTCGCGTCTATCCTAAACAAACTGCAATCTCAAATAGCTAATGAAATTCGATATGAAACCTAAAAAATGCTTAAAAACTCAAAACCTCCTAAACCTAATATTGTAAAGCTTGAACGCATTGCCGTGAAATCTCTAAAATCTAATCCCGGCATCGTAATTCTAAAATCGAAAAAGGAAATGCTACAGTGATCATGAACACAAATTAAAATCAGGAAAAGATTGAAGATATTCTTACAGACATCGTCAACTCGAAAAAGATCCTACGTCATCTATGGAACGGAACCTTAAACCTGTTATTAACGCTTTTTCTCTATCAGACTCTGAAAAAGTCTATCGCCCCTCATGACTCTAAAATTCCTCTTCTCTACGGACTCAAAAAGATTCACAAACCAAGATTACCCCTTCGACCTATTGTCAGCACCATTGGTTCTCCAATATATTATCTAGCAAAATATCTAGCTAGTCAGAATTGACAAACGTCAAAATAAAAAAAAAAACCGTGCGGTAAAATCCGCAAATGTCCGAAGTGGCTCGGATCCGTGGGACAAAAAACCCAAGTTGTAAAGAGACTCTTTCCGTTCGGTGTATAATTAGATATTTGACAGCGGAAAAGTCACTCGTTTATTAAACATTCGTTCCCCTTGTGCCATGTTCTTTACCCAACTACTTCAAGATATTTCAAGCCTGCTAACGCACAATGTTATGTATTAATAATAATGGATTAATTAAAGCCATCTTGCTTCATCATTTTCTAATAAAATGATTTGACGAAGATTTGAACAAGAAAGCAAGTTTTGCCGGATTAGTGGTTTCTCCTTGGCAGTATAATCTACTGGATGCAAATGAAATATTTTCGAAAATTTGTCTTTTTGTCATGGTATAATCCGGATCGAAGGGATAATATTTTTCTATTCCCCTCTGTAAAATACCTAATTACCCACCGATCTAGCGTGCGGGAAGCGTCATTTTACCACTTCAGATTCGTTTCCCATGAATCCGAGCCACTTCGGACATTTCCGGGATTTTACCGCACAGATTTGTTAGCAATCGGATGTTTTG